ATTCAACACAATCCCCTACACAATCCCTTACTCGTTCCCCTACGCAATCCCCGACTCATTCCCCTACACAATTCCATAAACAGCACAATCCCCTAAACACATTCCCATACACACACCGCGATGTTCAGATCCCAAAAGCTTTCCCGGGATCCCACACACGCGTGAAGCGACAACTTCCCGATCCCTTTTTGCTACTCGCCGCTCTTCTTCCTTCCCCCGACAAAATAACAAACGACAAACCGAAGCCTTTACAGCGTTAATAATCATTTTGTACAGCTATTAAATTAACAACCGATAACTATAAACCTCTTCGGAGGGGGGGGGGGGGATAATCCTCGCGCACTGCCAGCGACACATTGTGGCTCTGTGGAGTCTTTAACAGCGTGGTGGTGGTGGTGGTTGTTGATGTTCACGTGTTTTTGTATTTTTTTGTACTTTACAGTTTTGAATATTTTTTTGTTTTTAGTTTTTTTTTACAATTTTTATTTTATCTTTTTGCTTTTTTTAAATTAAATTTTCGTATTTAAAATGTTCTGATTTGTTTTTTACTTGCTTCTCAACCCAAGTCTCTTGTGTCATTTCCTCTCTCTCCTTCCTCACACTCTCTCTCACACTCTCTCCTTCCTCACACGCTAACTATCTCTCTCACTCTCTTTCTCACACTCTCTCACTCTCTCTCTCTCTCCTTCCTCACACTCTCTCACTCTCTCTCACACTCTCCCTCTCTCTCACACTCTCTCTCCTTCCTCACACTCTCTCTCCTTCCTCACACTCTCTCGCACTCTCTCACACTCTCTCACACTCTCTCTCTCCTTCCTCACACTCTCTCACACTGTCTCTCCTTCCTCACACTATCTCTCCTTCCTCACACTCTCACACTCTCTCCTTCCTCACTCTCTCTCTAACACTCTCTCACACTCTCGCTCTCCTTCCTCACACTCTCACTCTCTCTCCTTCCTTACACTCTCTCCGTCTCTCTCCTTCCTCACACTCTCTCTCACACTCTCTCTCACACTCTCTCAAACGCTCTCCTTCCTCACACTCTCTGTCTCTCTCCTTCCTCACACTCTCACACTCTCTCTCTCCTTCCTCACTCTCTCTCACACTCTCTCACACTCTCTCCTTCCTCACACTCTCACACTCTCTCTCTCTCTCACACACTATCGCTCTCACTCTCCTTCACTCTGCCTCACTCACTCTCACGCATTATCCTCCCTCACACTCTCTCATCCCTCACTCTCTCTCTCTTCCTCACTCAGACCCTCTCTTCCTCACTCTCTACCTCACTCTCTCACTCTCTCTCTTCTTCACTCTCTTTCCCACTCACTCTCTCACACTTTCCCTCACTTTCCTCTGTCACACTCCTCACACTCTCTCACACTCTCTTCCTCACTCTCTCTCTTCCTCACTCTCAACCTCACTCTCTCACTCTCTTCCTCTCACTCTCCTCACTCTCTCTCTCTACCTCACTCTCTCTCTTGGCTCTATCGTTCGAATGTGTTCCAGGCTTTTAGGGTTCCCTCCATTAACATCCATTCTCCTGCCTTTGCTCAAACGATTTCAAAACTAACAACAAATCGATGTTTTCTCACGAAAAAAAAAAACCAGCCCGTCGGTATAGTAATGGTTCTCTTGCTAAAACACCACGCAAGCGGACACGGGAGAAGATCAGAAAAAAGATCAGATAATAAAAAAAACTCTGGATAATATATATGTGCGCGCGCGTGCGCGTGTGTGTGTGTGAATTTGCGTTTTTGTGTAATTTACACATGAGCTCGGGGCATTAACCGTCGCCGCTGGGGTCGTAGCGCGTCAGCAGCGTGGAAAACCCAGCGGGGACTCGCGACTCCACGGGGGGATGGGGGTCCAGGTTCGACTCTCTCCCCGCACGGACGACGCCCGTTATCGACGCCGCCGGTTGCAATCGACGCCGCCGGTTGCAATCGACGCCGCCGGTTGCAATCGACGCCGCCGGTTGCAATCGACGCCGCCGGCTTCCCAAATCCTTCAGAGATCGCCACCGTGCCGGCCTTCACGGGCGCCGCTCGCGAGCAGCGCTCGCCCCAACGGCCTGTCAAGGCTGCTGCACGGGGGACCTTCGTCTCTCGTTGGTGGGTGCAATGAGTGGGGTACACTGGTGACCTCTGCCCCCACGAGGGAGGTGTGGCGGCTCTCTCGCTCTCGAGGCCTCGGGGCAAATGATCTAAACGAGAATTAAGCGCGCGGGCAACGCAAGGCGACAACTTCCTTCGTCTCGTCAAACCCTCCCGTGTTTATTAACGTCCCGACAATTTTTTTGTTTCTTGAGCGCTTCAGAACCGAAGGAGTGCCGAGAGGCTCCGGCAAAGAGCCGATTGGTCGGGACGCGAGCGCTGGCGGGCCACTCACAGCACCTGCTCCCTTTCGCCTCTCTCCCCACTCTCCGTCGTCGTCGTCGTTTTGTTGTTGTTGACGATCGGTGCCGGGTGGCGTGAACGACAATTTGGCGACCCAAAATAAATAAATAAAACACCGAGGCGGCGTCGGATTTTTGCGTGCGGTGGTTTTGACGAAACCGCTGCTGCCGCTTTCCGTGCGAGGGATGGAGGGACCCCCCCCCTCCCCCCACCGACTACAGGAACGAGCGACGCGTTCGGGCGGAGGAGGGCGGAAACGGAATAACGAACCCGCAACTTGCTCGCTCGCGCGCGGAGGGGTGCGGGATCTCTTCCATTTTCAAAACACTCGCTACACTCGGGGGTGGGGGGGTGGGGGGGTGTGGGGGGGGGACGTGCACGTGACGTCGACGACGGCGGCGAACGCTCCCGAACGAAGAAAATAAAAAAAAACCTCGAAACGAGAATCGTGCCGAGACTGGAAGGCGATCCGCAATCCCCCCGCGACCCCCCGCCGCTCACCCATCTCGAGGCCCCGCCCCCCCGCCCCCCCTCCCCCGCCAATTGCCCCCCGCGACCGCCGGGTGCGGGTTCACCGGCGCCGGGCGTGTGGCGGTGCGAGCGCTTTGCCGACCGGTGACGACAACGAAAAACGTTGACGTCATTTTTTGACGGGACGCGACGGCGGAGAATTTCGAGGATGCGCCCGCCGCCCGCGGGCGTTCCGACCACTTGGGCCCCCCACCCCCCCCCCAGCCCCCCCAGCCCCCCCAGCCCCCCCCCCGCCGTGCCGACGAAAAGATTCGCTTCCCTCCGCAACGATCGACGAAGCGGACGGACGAAGAGAAAAAAAAAACATCGGCCGGCGGATCAGACGAGACGCCGCTCGCTCGGGGGGGGGGGGTGGGAGGGTCGGTTCATGAAATAGCTCCCCGGAAAGCGGAGCGAAACGTCGGACGCCGCGGCCCGACACCACAAGGCGTGAAGCAGAGAGAGAGCGAGCGAGCGAGGGCGGGTTCCTGTGGACGTTCACGAGTGTTCACCTTCTGACGCAACTGCCCCCGAAACAGGACCCACACCCCCGCCAAGAGAGTCAGGTGACGTGACGTTGGCGCCGTGTGTCGGACGACACTGCCACATTTTTCTTTTTTTTTAAAGAAGTTTGTAATATAGAATTATTATTTTTTTACCCATTTTTCTCTCTTCGTTATATACTTTTTTCATTTTTTTTTAAACTTTTTAAAAATAGTTTATATATCCGCGACGACATCATCTTAACGCAACGCTCAAATTTTTTTTATGTTTTGTTAAAAACCACTATACATCGGCCCACTTTTATATAAACTAAAACAAACTTTTTTTTTCGTAGGTTTCTTGAAATTTTGTAGATTTTTTTATTTTTTTTTACTGTCGTTGAATATTTTTTTTTTTACGGCTTTTCTCTTTTTTTGGTTCGCTCCATTTGAAATGAAACACAAACCCACACACAACAAGTAACCCCCCCCCCCACGCCACCCCATCCCGCCCCCCCGTCCGCCCGCCGGGAAAACAACGGCCGAACCTCCCGGCGGCGACCCCCCCCCCCCCCTCCCGTAACATTTCTCCAACGCCGCAGCACCAACGTGCCCGGGCACTCCGCCGGCTGACGGTTTCGCCAATTTTAACATCGCCCGCGAGCGCACGCGCGGGGGGCAGGGCGCGAGGTGAGGTGGGGGGGGGGGCGAGGTGAGGTGGGGGAAGCGCCGTTCCCCCGGGAAACCGTCACGCTAGTGTGACGTCACGCTAGTGTGACGTCACGCTAGTGTGACGTCACGCTAGTGTGACGTCACGCTAGTGTGACGTCACGCTAGTGTGACGTCACACTAGCGGGTCGTCGCGCGGGGCGGGGATCTTCACTCGCCGTTCCCCCCCCCCCACCGTGGGTTGATTCGCGACGGCGGCGTCCATGACCGAGGGGCCCCCCGAAGCTCGCCACTCCTGCTGAGGCCTTAGCGACAGATCAGATCGGCCGAGCTGAACGCGACATCAAACCTGCGTTGCCGTTTAAGCCGCGTTACTTTAATGTGGGGAGGGGGGGGGGCAAATAATAATTCTTACCCTTCCCCTCCAAAGTGGGGTAGATAACAAACAACTAAAAAAATGTCTACAGCTGTCTCCATGGTGAGGAATATTGAGAGAGAGAGAGGGGGGGGGGGGGCGGAGGCGGGGGTTTGACTTTGCTTTGTAGGGGATCGACGGCCGCATCGCGCGGTCATTTCCGCGGTGGACATCAAACGCCGGCGAAAACAGCGTTGGCGCCGTCTTAGCGGTTCGGAGCCCAGCGGGACCCCCCCACCCCCCCCTGCCCACCGGTTATTTTCTAGCGGCGGTGCATTGGCCATTTCGTTGTTGTTGCTACGCCCGCTACCGCTACAACCGCGCCGTCCGCTGCGGGTTAAACCTCCCCTGCGACGGCACTCTGAAACGCCGAGGCCGACGCCGCGCGCCAGACAAGTTGGTGCAGAAAACTCGCAGACGGTCGGCCGCGTTCATCGAATTCGTCGTTCGAAAACGACACCGGCAAATCTGCCGACGGGGTCAAAGCAACATCGCAGCGTCGCCCCCTTCGCCCGCCACCCACCCCCGCTACTGCAGACTCTGTCCGTCTGTGCCACACACGCGCAGCGGTGCCACCTTCTTCCCACCGCGATCGTGGCCTTGGGGCTTTGCGAGGGGCACCCGACGGACGGCACGGCACGGCACGGCACGGCGCGCCCAACGGGATCGTTCCGACGCGACTCCGTGTCCTCTGTGCTCAAACCGAGCCGCGGACGGACGAGCGGGCGGCAAGGCTCGAGGCCCGACCCAAGCGCCCGGAGCTCGGCCGTCGACGGGGCCTCCCGTTCCGTCGATGCCTTCGCGCGCAAAACTTTCCGCGCGCCCACGCATATACAGGTATACATACGTACAATATACATATATACATAGACCGCAACGCACATGCGAGCGGGTAAAAAAAAAGAAACAAGCCAAATCTACCCGCCGGCTCGCTGCTGTCGCCAACACTCTCGCCACCTCTCCCGGCCGCCGGCGTTACCGCGGGGCGAGCGTCCATCTCCGTCGGCGGCGCCGTCTTGAGTCCGGGTCGGTCGCCTCGCGAGGGATTCCGGTGAAGGCCCCCCCCCCCACTCCCATCGATCGACACGGAGCACGCCGCTCCGGACGTCTCCCTCGTGTCGGTCACACGGCGGGTGGCTCTGGGGCCCGAGGGGACGGTCGAGGGGGAGGGGCCTGTGGTGGACTGAGTGGAGGGGTGATGGCGACCGAGGGGGAGGGGTTGTGGGGGGGATCGAATGGGAGGGGCTTGGGGGGGAACGTATTTAGGACGTAAAAAATAACTATCAACAACGCAGTCGGCAGATTTCACAAGTCAAACAAATCAACAGCGGACAAACCGTGACATCCCAACTCGACCAAAACCAAGCTTCCAGTGGGTTGCTTGTCGACAAGTCCGTGGACCCTGGCCGCCACCGCCGCCGCCGCCGCCGCCGGTCACACCAACACCGCCACTCCCCCCCCCACCCCGCGGCTTCCCGTTCACTTGAAGTAGGAGTAGTAGCCGTTGTTGGCGTGCGGCGCGGAGTCGGGACTCAGGCCCTGCAGGAAGGGCAGGCCACCGCCACCGCCACCGCCGCCGGCGCCGCCGCCGCCGCCGCCGCCGCCGCCGCCGCCGGTTACCGCCGGCCCCGCCACGCCGCCCCTGCGGTCCGCGCCGTCGGCCGGCGTTGGCTTTTGCGGAGGCGGGCGGCGTGGACCGCACGGCGCAGGCGTACGACTTCACCGCCCTGGTGCCGCCTCCGCCGCCGCCACCGGTCGCTCCGACGGTAGCCGGCCCCGCGCCGGCACCGCCGGCCGGTTTGCCGTGAGGCTGAACGTCGGACGGGGCGGATTTCGCGGCCGTGGGTTCTGCGCGAGACGGCGGGGTGAGAAGGGTTGAGTGCGGCGGTGCGACGGGTGCGGTATATACGTCAGCGCATCATCATCGTAATCATCATCATCATAATCATCGTAATCATCAACATAATCATCGTGGTCATCATCGTGATCATCGTAGTAATCATTGGGATCACTATCATTATCGTAATCATCATCGTAATCATTGTGGTCATCATCGTGATCATCGTCGTAATCATTGGGATCACTATCATTATCGTAATCATCATCGTGCTCACAATCATTATCGTAATCATCATAATCATCGTCGGCATCATCGTTATCATCACCGTAATCATTATCGTCGTTATCATCATCGTAATCATCATCGTCATCGTCACCATCATCGTAATCATCATCATCATCATTCTCTTCGTCTTCCCTCCCCTCGTCCCTCCACTCCTTTCTGTCCCTCCCCTGCAGCCCCTTTCGTGATCCATAAGCGCCCCCCCTCCCCCCTCTATCGCCCGTCACTCATTCCCCCACGCCCCCCCCCACCCCACTCCCCGCTCCCCCACGTCGACTAAGACATTCCACCATCCCGCGTCACCCTTTTGTAAGCTGCGTCAAGCGCCTTGAGCGACGGCGCTCCACAAACACACTCCGACGGGATCGCCCATCGTTGCCGTCGCTTCGCTCCTTTACCCACGACAGCCTCGGAGAGTCTCGAGGAGGGCCGAGGTGCCGCGACGTTTAACCAACCGCGCGCGACTCGTTCGCACGCGCAAGGTTTCCCAGCACTGGGTTACAAGTTGGTCAATACCAGTTTACATTGCATTGTGGGTGGGTGGGTGGGGGGGGGGTTAAGAAGGAATGTTGAGAACCCAGGAGTGAAACATTTGGGGGGGGGGCCAGAGAGAACACGCAAATCCTCACGCGCACAGTGCAGGCGCCCCGACTCGAGATACGAATCCAGCCCCCCCCCCCCCCGGAATCTCCGCCAACGCTGCAGCCAGACTTGCTAATCCAGTTCCACCCACCCCTCTTTCTGGGACACGCGAGAGTCTGCCGAACCCCCGGCCGGTCTCTTCGGCCACCTTCGGACCCGCAGACAAAGCCAACTTTCTCCATGGGCGACAATCACCCTCGATTGCGAGGGGTAAGCCGACGATGATGATGACGATGGTGAAGCAGGTACGACCTAGGGGAGAGGCCCAGGACTGGCTCAAATGTGTCGGCCGTGTGGACGGGAATTGACCCCAGGGTCGCCGGGTTCGTTGCGCGCAGCGCGACTAACCGCTGCACTACCGCTGCCATCTCACACACACACGGACAGACACACGGACACGTGCACGGACACGCGCACGGACAGACACACACACGGACAGACACACGGACACGCGCACGGACACGCGCAAGCTCCCTCACCGGTCAGCTGAGCCGCGTGGCTGCTGTGGAGCTGTGCGGCGGAACTCGCCTGCCTCTGGTACAGCGGCCGCCCCGCGTCTCCGTTCTTGAACTGCAAGGACAGAGGTGGGGGTGGTGGGCAGGCGGGGGGGTGGTGGGAGGGTGGTGGTGGTAGTGTAGGTGGTGGGTAGTGGTAGTGTAGGTGGTGGGTAGTGGTGGTGTAGATGGTGAATGTGGGGGGAGGGGGGGAGGCCATAAACACAAGGGGTGCAAAAGTTTGTTGTTAAAGTTTATTTCCCTGCGTCCCATTGATAGATGGATTCTCGCGGCGACCGTTTACAATATTTGTCATCGATGCTCTATCGGGGGGGGGGGCAGTGGCCAGGCACGCGGTGCTCTGGGACAAAATTTGTTGTCCTCAAGTGCCCCACCACCACCCCACCACCACCACCGCACCACACCACCACCACCACACCACCACCACACCTCCACTACCACCACCACCACCATGACCTCACCACCTTCACCACCATCACCACCATCACCACCTCCACCACGACCGCCACCACCGCCTACACCACCTCCACCATCACCGGGCGACGACGACGAACGGACGACGGCCAAGCGTAACGTTGCCAAGGTTTTTACCGACGCGCCGACTGCCGTCGGTCGAGCTCTGCTCGCCGACCGGCGGAGCGGAGCTCGATGGCTTCTCAGGACGAGACGCAGCAACGGCGCCGGTTTGGCGAGGGACCGCCCTTCCAGAGGTCGCCATCGTCCGCCGTGGCTACCCGCGGCGCGTCTCGTGCCCGAGCAGTGGTGACACACACACACACAAAAGCGCTGACGCGGGAATGACTCGGAGAGAGGGTGACACACACAGATGACTCGGAGAGAGGGTGACACACACACACAAGCGCGCTGACGCGATGATGACACAGAGAGAGGGTGACACACACAGATGACTCGGAGAGAGGGTGACACACACACACACACAAGCGCTGACGCGGGAATGACTCGGAGAGAGGGTGACACACACAGATGACTCGGAGAGAGGGTGACACACACACACACAAGCGCTGACGCGGGAATGACTCGGAGAGAGGGTGATACACACAGATGACTCGGAGAGAGGGTGACACACACAAGCGCGTGTCAGCGTGCTTGTGTGTGTGTGTGTCGTCCTCTCTCTCACTGTGATGACTCACAGTGAGAGAGAGGACAACTCAGAGAGAGAGGACGACTCAGAGAAAGAGGACGACTCAGAGAAAGAGGACGACTCAGAGACAGTGTGACTCACAGAGAGAGAGTGAGAGAGGTTGACTCAGAGAGAGAGGACGACTCAGAGACAGGGTGACTCACAGAGAAAGTGAGAGAGGACGACTCAGAGAGAGAGGACGACTCAGAGAGAGTGTGACTCACAGAGAGAGTGAGAGAGGACGACTCAGAGACAATGTGACTCACAGAGAGGGAGGACAACTCACAGAGAGAGAGAGGATGACTCAGAGACAGTGTGACTCACAGAGAGAGTGAGAGAGGACGACTCAGATAAAGAGGACGACTCAGAGACAGGGTGACTCACAGAGAAAGAGGACGACTCAGAGGCAGGGTGACTCACAGAGAGGACGACTCAGAGACAGTGTGACTCACAGAGAGAGTAAGAGAGGACGACTCAGAGAGAGAAGATGACTCAGAGACAGTGTGACTCACAGAGAGTGAGTGAGAAAGGATGACTCAGAGAGAGAGTGACTCACAGAGAGTGAGAGAGGGTGACTCAAGAGAAAGAGGTTGACTCACATAGAGAGAGGACGACTCAGAGACAGTGTGACTCACAGAGAGAGTGAGAGAGGACGACTCAGAGAGAGAGGTCGACTCAGAGACAGTGTGACTCACAGAGAGAGAGAGAGGACGACTCAGAGACAGTGTGACTCACAGAGAGAAAGGACGACTCAGAGAGAGGGTGATTCAGAGAGTGAGAGAGGGTGACTCAAGAGAGGGTGACTCACAGAGAGAGAGGACGACTCAGAGGCAGGGTGACTCAAGAGAGAGAGAGGACGACTTAGAGGCAGGGTGACTCACAGTGAGAGAGAGTGAGAGAGGATGACTCAGAGACAGTGTGACTCACAGAGAGAGAGGACGACTTAGAGGCAGGGTGACTCACAGAGAGAGAGGATGACTCAGAGACAGTGTGACTCACAGAGAGAGAGGACGACTTAGAGGCAGGGTGACTCACAGAGAGAGAGAGAGAGAGGATGACTCAGAGACAGTGTGACTCACAGAGAGAGAGGACGACTCACAGAGAGAGAGGACGACTCAGAGACAGTGTGACTCACAGAGACAGTGAGAGAGGACGACTCCGAGAGAGAGGACGACTGAGAGACAGTGTGACTCACAGAGAGTGAGAGAGGGTGACTCAAGAGAGAGAGAGAGAGGACGACTCGGAGGCGCCAGGAGGAGGCACCACAGACAAGCGTGAAAGGCAGCAGCAGCAGCAGCCACGCGGCGGTGACCCAACGACGAAATTCACCTCCCCAAGCTCGGCGGGTCCTCGACGTGCCAAGATGTTAACGGGCAACGGACGAGCGTCCACATGTGGCAGGAAAATCGAAGCGGCGCCCGGAGACAACCCACGCACGCCAAGGGTGACGGGGCGGAGGGGAGGGCAAACGCTCGATCCCCGAACGGGTGGGCCGTCCACATTTTGGCGTGCAGGCCTCGCCTCCTTGGGCTAGCCAGGGTTGCGGGAGTTTCACGGCAACATCTGCGTGCGATCCACCAACCCCCCCAACCCCCCCGTCCCCGCCGACGTCTCCGCCAGCGCCGGATGGGCAGGCAGCCGCGTGTGTAGCCCCACCAACGCCACGGGGCCAGCCGGGCCAGCGTGGGCCAAGACATCCATTTTAAACGATCGTCGTGAGCCTGCCCGCGCGTTTCTCCGATCCACGCATTCCTCTCTTTTTCCATCTCTGAACGTAGTCCCCAAGGGTGCATACCTCCCCCCTCCCCACCCGCCACCCAGTAAACACACGTACGTATATATAACAAAAAAAATCATGAACCCTACAGGGTTTGAAGAACACGCTGGGCGCGCGTGAAAAATGCAAAAGGCGTCGGTTTTTTTTTTGTATCCCCCACCAAATGCATCTGGGGAGTCTCCGAGGCGAGCCTTCGAAAAGTCGCCGCCCGTAAATCCATCCCCGCTGCCAATTACGGACTCTCCCGCCCGCAGCCGCGCGCGGCCGTCTCTCTCCGAATTAATTACACGCATTTATTCTCGGGGACGTCACGGTTAATGGGACACCCACCCCCCCTAGCGCAGCCGTCTAAAGCACACAGCCCATTAGTCAACGCCGCCGCCGCTTCCTGCAGGGAGCAGGTGAGCGGAGGGAGGGAGCAGAGGGAGGAGAGAGAGGGAGGGAGGGAGGAGAGGGAGGAGAGGGAGGGAGGGAGGGAGGAGAGGAGAGGGAGGGAGGGAGGGAGGGGAGGAGAGGGAGGGATGGAGGAGAGGGAGGGAGGGGACGGAGGGAGGGAGGGAGGGAGGAGAGGGAGGAGAGGGAGGGAGGGATGGGAGGAGAGGGAGGGAGGGATGGGAGGAGAGGGAGTGAAGGGATGGGAGGAGAGGGAGGGAGGGATGGGAGGAGAGGGAGGGAGGGATGGGAGGAGAGGGAGGGAGGGGACGGAGGGAGGGAGGGATGGGAGGAGAGGGAGGGAGGGATGGGAGGAGAGGGAGGGAGGGGACGGAGGGAGGGAGGGAGGAGAGGGAGGGAGGGAGGAGAGGGAGGAGAGGGAGGGAGGGATGGGAGGAGAGGGAGGGAGGGAGGAGAGGGAGGGAGGGAGGGATGGATGGGAGGAAAGGGAGGGAGGGGACGGAGGGAGGGAGGGAGGGAGGAGAGGGAGGGAGGGAGGAGAGGGAAGGAGGGGACGGAGGGAGGGAGGGACTTCATCATCAGGGCGGTGGTGTCGGGCGGCGTCATGTTCGTTGCTTTTATTTTATTTTCAGAGGTTCGCAGTTCGAGCTTGGCTGCCGCCCTGGTTAATACCGCATCGGGTGTCGTCAATCAACAGCACACGCAGCATCATCAACCGCGGCGACGTCAACACCGCGGTTGTATTAAGCACAAGGGCAAAAATCCCCCGTGTAGCCTTAACAGACTGTTGGGGCAAGTGCTGTTAGTGAGTAGCACCTACGAAATCCGGCACGGCACACAACAGGGTGGGTGGCAGCACCACGCCCGGCCGCCTTTGTCTCTCTAGTGGCGATGTTCACGTATCGCACCAGGTACTCATTTGAGGCCAAATCGAACCAGGGGAGGCACAGGACCGATTCAGATAATCGTCACCGGTGTTGGCCGCGAGCGGGAATCGAACTCGGGCCGCCGGGTTCGTAGCGCAGCTACACCACCGCTCCCCACACAGACACACACACACAACAACCGCTATTCGCCACTAAGTGGCCAGGCCATGTGCACCTTGAGGCCACGTGAAGTATCGAACGCCCGCTGACAAGAGGTCACGGGGCAGACCCAGCAGGTGCCACGGGTCGACTGACTGAGATGACTGGCTGATGCACCACCGTGCCCCCTTACTGTGCCAATATGCTGTGCTTTGGCCACCCGGCGCTCCGCTCGTTGTTGTGAGCGTTGCTCCTCCGCCCTCTGTTGTTGTTGGAGGGCGACTGCCTCCAACTGCCCAGTAGCGTCCTTCACGAGCCTCCTCCACAGAGGCCGATCTTGACACCGCTTGTACAAGTCATCGGCAAGTCCACTCAGCTCCACGTCCTCCTGCACCACATCACTCCATCTCTCCTCTAGCCCGTGCCGTGCCCGTTTAGCCCCCTCGATCCGGCCGAACAAAAGCTGTTTGGGCATGCGGTGGCTGGGCATGCGGGCTACATGGCCCAGCCAACACAGCCCTGCCTGCCGGAGGTGCTCGCCGATGGGACTTTGTCCAGATCTTTCAAGGATTTGTGAGCTCCTCACACAATCCAGCCTGGTTAAACCCAGGATTGATCGTAGACACACACACAGACACACAGACACACACACGCGCGGGCCACCTGCTTCACAGCTCCCATAGCGACATCGGGGCTAGAGTAGGCCTCCATCCTGTGCC